AGCACAAGAGCGACGTGGAGCTGTTGGAGAGAGGCCAGTGGAGACCACAGAGATGTTCTGATGCATCCAGATCATTAGCACACAAAGGTGAGGAGCTTACAGGAATTCTGGCAATTCCTTTTCCACTCTGAATTTTGTTGAATGTTGAAAAGTTAAATTCAGGACCCACCAAATGCAAGGACTGTACTGCTAATCCATCTCAGCCAGAAATCACAGAATCTTCTTATCTATTTTCAACACACTACGCAGTCAACAGACTTAAAATAATGAAGCAAAATAGATCAACTCATCCAGACAGCAAAAAATAGCCAAGACTCAAATAAAGAGGCCTTTATAGCTCTGTAGTTCCCAAAGCAGCAGCAGGAATTGGGAGCAGGAGGCTGGGGTTACACAGTGACTTCAATGCTACTGTACAACATTGCTTTCCCTCTCCTTCCTCACGTACTCTTCCTCGTACCCCTCACGGTAGCAGCAGCACTTGTGCAGCCACACAGGAAGCTGGAACAGATTTATCCAAAGAATACCCTTTTTGGACAGAAAAGTCAGGAAAGGTTTGACTTCAGGTGGGTGAGCTCCCTTAATCCACATGGCTCACCCATCCTTGTGCTGCTACAGGGAGACAGGAGAAACACTTGGCAAGCAGAGCTGCCCCTTCAGCAGCAATCCAGGCTTCAGAACAGATTAAACTACACACTCACTCTCTCTGGCAAAACATGAAAGCAAGCAAGCTTTTAAAAAGCCATTTTCACAGACTCACAGACTGGTTTGGGTTGAAGGAACCTTAAAGCTCATCCAGCTCCAACCCCTGCCACGGGCAGGGACCCCTTCCTCTAGAGCAGCTTGCTCCAAGCCCCTGTGTCCAACCTGGCCTTGAACACTGCCAAGGATGGGGCACCCACAGTTTCTCTGGGCACCCTGTGCCAGCGCCTCAGCACCCTCCCAGGGAAGAGCTTCTGCCTAAAATCTAATCTAAATCTAGCAAAAACTGTAAAGGCACACGAAACAGACCTTGAGATACCCTTCAAGGTAAAGCAACTACCACCTAGCAAGTTTCTAAAGTCCACAGCATATAATAGATAAAAATACATTACAGAAATACCAAATTGAATTAAAATAGGGATTATACAGCCTTAAAATATGGACTATCTGCTTTACACTTTTGCAGACACATGCACACACCCAAAAGGAAAGCATGCCAATGTCCCAGCAAACCATGGGCAACTTCAGACTACTATGTGTGACTTATTTGCTACCACCATACAAAGCAAACTTTAAAACCAAAAGAAAACCTATGAAAAATGCCAACACCTCTGTTAAATTCAGCTATTCAGAACACAGTTTGCCCCTGGAAAAGAAATATACTGAAAAAACTTGCTGGCTAAAAGCAGGCAGGTGTGGAGAGTGAAGCAGTAACTTCTAGACATAGAGAAACCTGGAAGGATTTCTGGTTGACAGCAACAAAACCTACATTTACCTTTTGGGGGGAAAAACCTCCTTTTGCAGCACAGTTGCAGAAAGACAACCTTGTTATAGCAATGCCAGCACATATCTACCACATGAAAGGGGATTGGAGCTTCAGTGAGCTCCAGAAGATAAACATATGTCATGCCTAAAACAGAGCCAGTGAGCCTACAAGCATCCTGAATCACTTGTTCCACAAATTCCCCAGTCACTAAGTCTGAAGCAATGTAACACCAAAAGCCAAATCGAGATCCTAAAGACAGAGATGTATTTTTAAACTGATCTGCTAACACATTTCAAAACACATTTTGTATTATAGTCTTGTCAAGTCATGAAAAGATAATTCAGCGTTACTGCTACTGAGCTTCCACAAAGAAGAGAAACACAACGGAGTTTGTTAAGACTGCAATGGGTATTTTTCTTGTTAAATAGATACTGTGTTGTGTCAAAAGTTGTTCAACTCCCACTAAAGCTTTCCACTCAACCAGCACACAGTTGTGTCAAGTCCCAGGTATGCTTTCCACAAGCAAAGTATGTTGCCTTTTCTTCCCAGCCTCCAGGACCTACATCATAGAATCACAGACTGGTTTGGTTTGGAAAAGACATTAAGATCATCTAGTTCCAAACCCCTGCCATGGGCAGGGACACCTCACCCTAGAACATGTTGCTGCAGGCTATGTTCAACCTGGCCTTGAATACTGCCAGGCATTTACCACAGGTTCTTTGGGAAACCTGTGCCAGTGCCTCAGCATCCTCACAGTAAAGAACTTCTTCCTTGTATCCAACCTAAATCTCCCGTTTCAGTCTGAACCCATCACCCCTTGTCCTATCACTCCAGTCCCTGATGAAGAGTCCATCTCCAGCATCCTTGTAGCCCCCTTCAGATACTGGAACCTGCTCTGAGGTCTCCATGAAGCTTCTCCTCTCCAGGCTGAACAGCCCCAACCTTCTCAGCCTGTCAAATCTACACCCCTGCATACAAAACACTGCATTATCATTCAAAAAGATGACATATTTTAAATAAACAGGGTGGTTTTGGTTATGTGCAGCCCTCAAGGCTATGAAATATCTGCAAAGGGGCTGGAGAAAAGGTAGTTACACCTATAAAGATGAGCCTTCTATGATAAGCCACAACCCTGACCAAGAAGAATCCTGTTTGGAATAAACAGTAGTTGAGTCTTCATCCTCTCCAAATGACATAGTTTAAGCCTTCAAACCACAAACATTTAAAGCAGTGCTCAGTTTTGCATAAAGATATCAAAGCTACTGGAATGGCAAGTATGCTTATGATGTGGGGGGCTGCCAAAAATCATCTGTTAATACACTACATAATGGCTGTGTTCTTCTAGAATTCATAAGAGAACTTTCTGATCTTTGCCTTGTGTCCTTTCTTTTTAGCTGTATACAAAACTGAACTCAAATGATAGAAAAAATGTAATTAAGAGTTTTAAATCCCATACAAACCATATGGTTTAAAGGTTGTCTGTGTGATTTGAATGCTTGCATTTATATGCTAATAAATACAGAAAGTGTTTTAATTATTTACCACTTTTAAACGTGAATTTTAAATGCATTCTTAATCACTAGCTTGCAAGCCACGCATTCAGACTTCCCTGTTGCCACTGCGACAGTTGAGTTTGTAGAATTCCGAACAGTACAACTCAAAGAGTATAAAGTCCAACTCCTGCAGTGCCCAAAAGCTCCAACAGTGTTATGAAAGGACCCAAACTCTCCCAAGCCTTGATAAATAAACAGTTTTCAGTTAGAATTTAATACTTTGGGATAACAGCAGGGTGCTTTCCACAAAAATCATTCTCTGTTCCAGAGACAAAAAGATCCTGTGTGTGGTTCCAGGGAGCATTGCTTTCTGGAACATTCCGGAATCACGGTGGCTGCATATTCTGAATACAGTCATAAACACACCAGTAATGGGATGATGAGGTTGACACCCAACGTCTCACACGAGTGTCACACACCAGCCAGCGCAGCATCAACACCACCAAGTCCTCAAAGCCCAGCTCCCCCTTCCCAGCAAGATGCAATTTAAAGGGCTCTGCATCACAAAGCAAGTTTGCATTAATTTTAAGCAAAAATTCTCTTGTTCTCTCTTATTCTGTTATCTGATGTTTGAATAAATCATTGACGCAACAGAGCTGTCCTATCCTATCACATCATTCCATGTTTAAGGAATGTTTAATCTGTAAATCCAGGCAGCGATTCTGCAAAGGCAGATTGCTTGCAGCAAGACTGCTGGTCAGACTATGCACATTTAGTGACTGTGGTAGTGAATTAAATATATTAACCCAGTTTCTTAATCCATAACATCCAAATTTATAAACTAACTGTAGAAAAACCAAATTACATGAAAGAAAACTATTTTTCAGCTGGCATTTTCACATGTTTTCCTGGCTTTGTAACCACAGGCCAATAATGCCTGTGACATCTTTCAGCAGAGCACAGACTGAAGTGATTATATGCGCCTGAAAAATAGGAAATGCCAATAAAACCTGGACTAGAACAGCAGTACCTGATCTGGATGTTCTAAAAATATGTTTCCATCCAGGGGGAAAAGAATTCCTTGGCTCAGTCTGTTACTTATTACTCAGCATTTGGTAGTTAAACACTGCACAGCCACTCATTTGAATCGAAGGAAATGAATGCTGTGATCTTGCCCAGACAAAAAAGTGTCTCAACACCCACAGAAGAAAAACAGGGGAGAGAAGGTTCAAGCCTCCACAGTGTGATTTATGAAGAGAGCACACTGGGAGAGCGAGACAAACAGCCCAGCAGCTGTCAAAGGCAACACATTTGCATTTTATATACAAATATAGAGCAAGGCATCTTGTTTAAATAAGTAATGGGTGGACTATACACTGCCAGACAGAGCAGGATGGCACAGAACTTACTGCTGAATACTCGACAGAAGAGCCATCCTAGAAATTGATTCTCCAAATGGAATGATTAAGCTTCCGTATAAAGCAATAACCCAACCACTGTGTTTTCCTAAAAGCAAACTTTTAACTTCAAAAGGAGCAATCACATCAGGTAAAATGAAGACTAAAACCCCCACAATTATGTCCTGTTTCCCTACTGATCTTCACCTGGGCAGAGTTTTAAATTCTACATGGAAATACCTGAGTTTCTTATGGTAAAAAATAGAATCTATTTAAAGGTGTTTTTTAAAAGGAGACATAAATCATGAGTGGGTTTAAGATATTTGCATCATTTTAGCAGCCTCTTACAACTGGTAAATCAAAATCTGGGTCCATTTTACACTGCTGAAAAGACCAATGCTTTCTGCATGCTGTTTGTGACAGGGGCTTTTTTTCTACCATTTCCCCCATTGAAGAGGAGAAAAAAATGGTTTGCATTGTGTTAGCTCCAGTTATAATTTCCAGCTGTGTCAAAACTTTAACAGCCTAAAAGCAGGAAATCCAAAGAGGAAATTCCATCGTCAGTTCCTGGAGTTTTGTAACTCCAATGTTTTTCTAAAAACTGGACCTTAAAGGAATTTTTGGTAGCATTTGCTGTAACCTTACCTGATATCTTCAAGTAGCTCACATTCTGCCTGGTGCTTGGCCTGAAGTTTTGTCATCTGCTCAACCTGAATGTTTTTTAGCTCCTGTGTAACTTTCACCTACAAAACAAACCACAGACCACATATATTTGCTGGAGAGTTTAAATGATTTCAACAAGAAAAAGACACAGTTTGTGTCCTCCACCTATTCTGAAATAGCACATTTCAAACACGGAGTTAAGAGTGCAGTTTAACATTCAAAAAGGCTGATTTCAAGAAGTGCTGTCACCCCAGCAGGCTTACACTGCACACAGCAAGAACCTCATGCTTAGGGCCCAACCATGACCAAAAGGTGCAATTTTATTCCAAAACCTTGAAGCTTGTGTGCATTAGAAAGAGTTTTGCCCACCAAAACCAGGAAAAACAGGCCATGGGGGGTGAAATTACATTATAATATACATATTTAGCACTTCAGTGCAAGTCAGGCCCATTTTGAAATGTACTGAACTGTCCTACACTTGCTATCATTTAAAGAGAGCTTAAACACCAAGTTGGATTTTGGTTGCGCATCACATCAAAAGAGCCTTTCTAAAAGGCTTCAGAAGGTCAACCTTTTGTTTTTCGTATTGGTGTCATTTCCCTTTGAACCTTGTGATCACAAAGCTAAGATTTCAGTACTTTGGGAACCAACCTGATAACTGGCAGCACCATTGGCACAGGTACAGGGAATGACTGGATTCTGGAAGGGAATCTGGGGCTTGTTTTGCTGTTGGTTTTATAGAACAAGAGGTCTTGGCATTTAAGCCCTCTAGTTATCACAGGGAATCCATATATCGGCCTAAAAAATGACCTGAAGACATTATGCATTCAGGAGGGCAGAAATGCCAGTTACTGTAGTGCAGGAAGAGGTGAAGAATTCACAGAGGAAGAAGATACAAAATTCCCTCTTTTTCAGTAGCAGGGCAAAAAGCCCTTAGATCTCATCAACCAGCGAAAGCCTCCTCAATTTTAACACTGAAAACAAGCCCCAGCAACCAGCACCCTTCAGCCAACATTATCTAAAGACACATTTTTCACATGATACCAAAATAGTTAAAAATCACATGTATGTGACTTCAATCAGAAAAAAAAAAGGCTATTTTTAACATGAACTTTCAGCATTTGGGGGTTTTATCTGTATATGAAAAAGAAAACCCTACTCCAAATAAATAAACCCACACAAGATGACCCATGTAATGGAAATAATCTCGAGTAATATAGGCAAAGAATGCCACACATGGAGAATAAATAAGCCACCAAATGCAAACTGAAATAGAAATGAGAACTGGTTCAACCAAAGCAGAGTCCACCCGCAAAACAAGAGGTCGAGAGGAAGGAACGAGCCAGGGAGAGATGCTCCCTGCAGTGACTGCCAGGGCTACTGGAGATGACAAGGGATTTCTGTCTATGCTTCCTCCCTTCCCAAGCTCTCCCAGTCACTATTATACGGGTCTCCACCCGGCAAACCCCTGCAATGTCTTCACCAAGAAACCTCCGTCTCACATCCGAGATCTCAAACAACCCCATCGAGCTACAACAAATCAGGCTGCGAATGCTTACAGCCCTTATCAGGCAGCAGAGAATATCTAACACACACCAAGCTCAAAGCCACAGAACTCCCTTCCACGGCGCCTGTAAAAGAGCAGCTTCTCCATCCTGTGACCTGCTCCTCCGGCTGCAGCTCTCCCTTTCTCCCCACACCACTGCATAACTAACCACTAAATCTCCATGGATCAGCACTTGCACACAGCTCAAGACCCCACTACGGCTCAAGTCGCCCAGAGAACAACCTGCACACAGAGAAGCCGCACCAGCAACAGTCTTTATTCCAAATCTACATTTCTTCTTACACCCCTTCCCACAGCAGCCCCCCATAAAGCAAAGCACCCTGTATTCTCATGGACACAAAAAAGCCTCACCCCCCCTCCCCGGTGCATCTGCAGGTTGTTCCCATCACACCGATGTTGCCCATTTCTGGTCGCTCCTGAGCCATGCCGGGATACCCTGCATCCTTGCATCAACTCCAGACGTGACCTTCTCCGCCAAGCCAACCGACCCACCGCCGCCGGCAGCAATGCACCGTAGCACCCCAACACAGCTGAGCCCCCAGAACACAGCCCATAGCACCCCACAGTCTCCTGACCACCCCTGCAGTCATTGCCCCCCTTCCAGCCCTGCCCAGCCATTTCTCGCCTCCATCTGGAGCACCACCACCGGGTATCGGGGGTACCCCAAAACCCACGAGCCAACCATTGCCCACCCCTTTCCTCACCAGCCTTCCCCATACCCACAGAGCTCCCCTCCATACCAAACCCCCCTTCCCTTTTCTAACCCCCCCCCCCCAAAGCCCCACAACCCCCAGTTCACCCCCCTTGTCCCTCCTAACACTTGTTTTCCCTCACCCGACCTCCCTCCATGCTCCACCATAGCACAGCCCAACCTGCGGCCCCCCCTCCCCACCGGCGCCCTCAAACCCCCTCATCCCCCCTCCCCTTACACCCCCAGAACCCCCCCACTCTGCCCTAAACACATCCTATCGCTACCAGCACCCCCAAATCAGCCTCCAGCCCCATTTACCCCCCCCAAATACACACACATAGAGCCCTCAACACACACAGAGCCCCCCCCCCCCCCGGCCCGGGAGGGCCCTCACCTTCCTCGGCGGCGGCTGCATGGTGCTGCGCTGGGTCTCCACATCAATTCCCTCCCCCCGGCAGCAGGATGCGGCCCCCGCTGCAGGAGGAGGAGAAGGAGGAGAAGGAGGAGCGGGCAGCGATCGTCTCCCTCCCGGTGCAGGGCGAGTCCCGGTCGGGGAGGGAAAAGGGGAGGGAATGTCGGGGGGGGGGGGGGGGGGGGGGAAGGCCGCCTCTTCCTCACGGGCAGCGACCGAGCAGCGTCCCGAGTCCCGGCCCTCGGGAGCGGGGAGGGAAAGGAGGCGGCAGCGGGAAGGCGGGGACGAGAAGGGGGAGAAGGAGGAGAAGGAGGAGAAGGAGGAGAAGGAGGAGAAGGAGCAGAAGGAGCGCGGCTCGGGAGCGCCCCGCTGAGGGGACGCGCGCCCGCCTAAGGCGAGGCCTCCGGAGGCGGGAGCGGCCACCACAGAGCGGGGCGGGGGGGGGGGGGAACGCCCCCTGCAGGCTCCGCTGCTGCCGCTGGAGGGCGCCCGTGGGCAGAGCGGGAGGCGGCGGGGGGGAGGAGGAGAGGGCGCGGGGTGAGGGGAGCGCAAGGGGGTGCAGGGGGTGTAAGGGGGGTGCAGGGGGTACACAAGGGGGTGCACAAGGGGGTGTGCAAGGGGGTGCACGGGGGTGTAAGGGGGGTGCACAAGGGGGAGCACAAGGGGGTGCAGGGGGTGTAAGGGGGGTGCAGGGGGTGCACAAGGGGGTGCGCACGGGGGTGCAGGGGGGGTAAGGGGGGTGCAGGGAGTGCGCAAGGGGGTGCATGGGGGTGTAAGGGGGGTGCAGGGGGTGCGCAAGGGGGTGCATGGGGGTGTAAGGGGGGTGCACAAGGGGTTACACAAGGGGGTGCATGGGGGTGTAAGGGGGGTGTACAAGGGGGTGCAGGGGGTGTAAGAGGGGTGCAGAGGGTACGCAAGGGGGTGCATGGGGGTGTAAGGGGGGTGCATGGGTGTGCACAAGGGGGTGCAGGGGGTGTAAGGGGGGTGCATGGGTGTGCACAAGGGGGTGCACAAGGGGGTGCACGGGGGTGTAAGGGGGGTGCAGGGAGTGCGCAAGGGGGTGTGCAAGGGGGTGCGCAAGGGGGTGCATGGGGGTGCACAGGGGGGTGCATGGGTGTGCACAAGGGGGTGCACGGAGGGTAAGGGGGTGCAGGGAGTGCGCAAGGGGGTGCGCAAGGGGGTGCATGGGGGTGTAAGGGGGGTGCACAAGGGGTTGCACATGGGGGTGTAAGGGGGGTGTACAAGGGGGTGCAGGGGGTGTAAGGGGGGTGCAGGGGGTACGCAAGGGGGGGTGCAAGGGGTGCACGGGGTGTAAGGGGGGTGCATGGGTGTGCACAAGGGGGTGCACGGGGCGTAAGGGGGGTGCAGGGAGTGCGCAAGGGGGTGCATGGAGGTGTAAGGGGGGTGCATGGGTGTGCACAAGGGGGTGCACGGGGGGTAAGGGGGTGCAGGGAGTGCGCAAGGGGGTGCGCAAGGGGGTGCATGGGGGTGTAAGGGGGGTGCACAAGGGGGTAGAGGGGGTGTAAGAGGGGTGCAGGGGGTACACAAGGGGGTGCGCAAGGGAGTGCATGGGGGTGTAAGGGGAATGCACAAGGGGGTAGAGGGGATGTAAGAGGGGTGCAGGGGGTACACAAGTGGGTGCATGGGGGTGTAAGGGGGGTGCATGGGTGTGCGCAAGGGGGTGCAGGGGGGTGCAAGGGGGTGCAAGAGGGGTAAGGGGTGCACAAGGGGGTAAGGGGGGCACGGAGGGTGTAACGGGTGCACCAGGGAGTAAGAGGTGCACAAGGGGGTGGAAGGGGTGCACGGGGGGGTAAGGGGTGCACAATGGGGTGCACGGAGGAAGTGCACAGGGGTTCAGGGTGCGTGCACAGGAGGGTGCAGGGGAGTGCACGGAGGTGCAGGGTGTGCACAAGGGGGTACACGGGTGCAGGAGTGTGCACAGGGAGGGTGCAAATGGTGCACGGGGTGCACAAGGGTGTGCACGGGGGGGTGCAGGATGCACACAAGGGGGTGCAGGGGTGTGCAAAGATGTGGGTGGTGCCCAGGGAAGACACGTGGAGGGTGCAGGGTTTGCATAAGGGTGTGCAGGGGTGTGCAAGAGCTGCACAAGGGGGTGCAGGAGTGTGCAAGTGGGTGCAGAGGTGTGCGCAGAGTGGACATAGGGGGACAATAGTTTGCAAAGGAGGTGCACAGGGGTGCAGATGGTGTTCATGGGGGTGCACAAGGGGGTGCAGGGGTGTGCTTAAGGAGGTACAAGGGTGTGCACAAGAGGGGTGCAGGGTGTGCACTAGGTGAGAGCAGGGGATGCACAGAGTGTATAGAGATGTGCAAAGGACGTCTCCTATGTGATGTGAGCAGGGGTGTGCAAAGGATGTGCGCCCTCATCCAGCTTCCAAGGCATGGGTCCACTGCAGGATCCGGCTACACAGACTGGGGTGCAGGATAAAACCTGTGCTGCCATGGAGGTGCTCCCCAGCATCACGCAGACGTGGTGCTGGGAGTGCGCTGCACCAGAGGAAAAGCAGCCATCACCTTTCTGCCAGCACTTTTAAGCCTGCCCAAGCAATGTGGAGCAGAAGAGATGGAGTTGAGCTGGAGTTCAAGTTATAAAGGACTGTCCTCCTCATAGAGTCATAGAATCCAGACCGGTTTGGGTTGGAATGGACCTTAAAGCTGATCCAGTTCCAACCTCTGCCACAGGCAGGGACCCCTTCCACTAGAGCAGCTTGCTCCAAGCCCCTGTGTCCAACCTGGCCTTGAACACTGCCAGGGATGGGGCAGCCACAGCTTCTCTGGGCACCCTGTGCCAGTGCCTCAGCACCCTCACAGGGAAGAGCTTCTGCCTGAGAGCTCAGCTCAGTCTCCCCTCAGGCAGGTTAAAGCCATTCCCCTTGGCCTGGCCCTACAGGCCCTTGTCCCAAGCCCCTCTCCAGCTTTCCTGCAGCCCCTTCAGGCACTGGAGCTGCTCTCAGGTCTCCCCTTCAGGAGCCTTCTCTTCTCCAGGCTGAGCAGCCCCAATTCCGTCCTCAGAGCCTGGGGACAGCAGCTGGAGCACCCAAACCCCAATGCACCCCAAGGCCACCACACCCGCAGAGCACCCGAACACACCACAACCCACAAGCCTTTTGCAGGAGGTTGCTTTTAATCAAAGATGAATAAACCAAAGCAGAGCCCTTGAGCACTGGAGCCACCGGTGAGATGCAGGAGAGCCCAGGAGGCAGAAGTGATGTTCCCAGCCATGCAATGCCATGTTTTGACGGGTATGAATTAAAAGCCCTTCATTAGACTTCCTTTTTCCTTTCCCCTCCCAGTACTTAGGTTGCTTGGCTCAGCTTATTAGATCTGCTGCAATGAAATCTTTGAGCTCTTAAGTGCATTTGGATGTTTCCTTGAAGCAAATCACCGGGGCAGTTTGCAGAACACAAGGCAATTCTCCTAATTGCATTTTCCCGAGTGCTCCAGCATTGCTGCTGCTCCAGCTCCTTTATTATTGATGAACAGCTTTACTCCCGCTCCCAGAAAACGACCCAATGCCTTTAAAGATGCTTTAACCATCTTTTAACACTTGAAAACCCCCTCAAATGCAATGTGAATTCTCTTTTCTCCTCTAGCTAGTAGTTTATGGAGTGCTGGTAATTACTCCAACTCCTCCTCCTGGGAATTGTCCATCTAAATCATTGGTGTGATGTGGTGCCTCAATGAATGATGTGAGCATCATCCGTCTCTTTGAGCTACACAACCTGCAGACCCCTGGAGGTGTTCTTGCAGGACCATGCCCTGTCCTCATTAGCAAGTTTAAATCCATCCAAAGCATTTCCTACACACACACATATACCTAGGATGGTGGCTGGGGAAGACAGAAGCGTTGAGAGCAATTGTTGTTTAATATATATATTGCAGTTCCTGCACGCAGTGTGATGCCCAAGCTGGGACGAGCAAATGCAGTGGGATGTGCTCAGGGGGATGCAGAGGATGCTTCATGGGAAAAGAGATTGCAAAAAGCATTTTCTGGGCTAGAAACGCCCAGCTGGTGCTGGGGTGAAAGCTGGGGCTTGCAGGGGTTTTGCACTGGGAAGAAATTCCTTAATGTGAAGGTGCTGAGGCGCTGGCACAGGGTGCCCAGAGAAGCTGTGGCTGCCCCATCCCTGGCAGTGTTCAAGGCCAGGTTGGACACAGGGGTTGAAGCAAGCTGCTTTAGTGGAAGGGGTCCCTGCCTGTGGCAGGGGTTGGGGCTGGGTGAGCTTTGAGGTCCCTTCAACTCAAACCAATCGGTGATTTTCTAATAGTGGGCTATATAACACGACAATGGGAAACCCGAAGGGGACCAAGCTGGTCTTGTTCAGTGTCACCTCACCAAGGAGACAACTTGAAACAATCACAGGAGCCACCGAGGTTTTTCTGGCCAGGGCATAGAATCACAGAATGGTTTGGGTTGGACAGGACCTTAAGATCATCCAGTTCCAACCCCCTGCCATGGGCAGGGACACCTCACACTAAACCATGGCACCCAAGGCTCTGTCCAGCCTGGCCTTGAACACTGCCAGGGATGGAGCATTCACAACTTCCCTGGGCAACCCATTCCAGTGCCTCAGCACCCTCACAGGAAAGAATTTCTTCCTCCTTATATCCAGTCTAAACTTCCCCTGTTTCAGTCTGAACCCATCACCCCTTGTCCTATCACTCCAGTCCCTGAGGAAGAGTCCCTCTCCAGCATCCTTGTAGCCCCCTTCAGACACTGGAAGCTGCTCTGAGGTCTCCACACAGCTTCTCTTCTCCAGGCTCAACAGCCCCAATGTTCTCAGCCTGGCTCCATACAGGAGCTGCTCCAGCCCCTGAGCATCCTCGTGGCCTCCTCTGGACTTGTTCCAACAGCTCCATGTCCTTCTTACGTTGAGGACATCCATAGAGGAGGATAAATAGAGGGAGACAAACAAAACACAACTGTGCCCCAGCGGTTCAGGAAACAATTTGTCACCATCTTGATTTAAATCCTATGGAATGTGTTTGGTAAATTTGTCTGTTTGCAAAGGTTCAGCCCATCCCTGAAACCTCTGCTGGAGGGACTGAGTCCTTTGGAGCATCCTCAGGGCATTAATGCTCCATTTTTCCCTTGGATGCGCTGGTGGGAATGGGGAGCTGCTTCCCTGGGGTCCACAACGGAGTGAGGAGGAGGATGGGATTTTGCAGATCAGCATTGAATGAACTGAGAAAGGCAGGAGCCAGGCAGAGTAAACAGCTTCTTAAAAGACATTCATT